AGCATGCAGGTGCAGGCAGCACGTGTCGCATCAGTAAGGCATGCAGGTGCAGGCAGAACGTGTCACATCAGTATAAGGCATTCAGATGCAGGCAGCACATGTCGCATCAGTAAGGCATGCAGGTGCAGGCAGAACGTGTCACATCAGTATAAGGCATTCAGGTGCAGGCAGCACGTGTCGCATCAGTAAGGCATGCAGGTGCAGGCAGCATGTGTCGCATCAGTATAAGGCATGCAGGTGCAGGCAGCACGTGTCACATCAGTATGAGGCATTCAGGTGCAGGCAGCATGTGTCGCATCAATATAAGGCATTCAGGTGCAGGCAGCATGTGTCACATCAGTAAGGCATGCAGGTGCAGGCAGCATGTGTCACACCAGTATAAGGCATTCAGGCGCAGGCAGCACATGTCGCATCAGTAAGGCATGCAGGTGCAGGCAGCATGTGTCACACCAGTATAAGGCATTCAGGCGCAGGCAGCACATGTCGCATCAGTATTTTAAAGGCATGCAGGTGCTGGCAGCACGTGTCGCATCACACGCAAGCTCAGCAGTCTTGCTTTTGTAAGGCAACTAAAGGGACAAAGCTACACATAAATGCAATGCATGACCGTCATTTAACTCGAGACACGTACGAGGTTAGAATAAATGTATTCCTGTTTGTGTATTCTTGTCCAGCTTTTCCTTTTTAGCAAGTGGGAAAAAAAGAAAAATGGAATTTCAGGGGATTTGTTTAAAAAAATAAGGAATACGGATAAAACTGGAAAAGTAGCACTTCTGAATTTATTAGATTTTTGCTAACTTGGGCGGGAGATAGTTCTTTAAGTGAAAATCTATCATAGTGATTATAATGTAAGACTGTGTGCGTTTTTGTGAGAGATTTGGCATGGGGTTTGTTCATTAATCGATCGAATTGTACACATGTAGGTTAAATATTTGAATAGTGAATTAATCTGTGCAAGATGTTCCATGTTGTTAAAATAGTTGGCAAGAGGGGCAAAACCATTCCTTGTGCTTCTATGCAATGAGGTGGTAGCATGATTAAAGAATTTTGAAACAGAAAAAATGATAATTATCCCGGCCCAGTATTGCTAACATTTTTAACTAACCCGGCGTGAAGTGGTTAAAAGAACATTAGCTTGAAACTCAGGCAAACTTCGTGAGTACTACCATTTGCCAGATACTGTACAGCGGTTCACCAAACTGGTGAGACTTTTCCAGAGTTAGGAGTGGGGCAACTTGCTTTCCCAGCAGGGAATATTCTTACGCAACGTGCACGTAACATGAGGTAGGAGCATTTTTTACTAAAAACCGTATTTCCTATGTCCAATCGATCCAACGTTTGACTTCAAACTACCACAATAAACCCAAACCCACACTTTTTAGGGCATCTGGCCCCGTTAAAGATTTTGTTGTTTCTTCCTAATCCTCCCCCCGAAAGACAGAAAAATACCAATACCAAACAAGAAGGGGCAATAATGACCCACCAAAATTGCACTAGCTCAAACAAGTTTGATAATGTTCAATTCTGACCAACTACATCCACAACATTCCCCCATCCCAATCCCAAGCAGAGGCTGTCGGATGTATGTGTGCTTTAAATAACCGATGGATTTCAATGATCTGTTTACTCCCAGAAGGTTTCACTTGTGAAGACGGCAGCAGCGACAGTATCTATAATAAGCGCATGTTGATGATGAACATGTACCCCCGGTACCCTATAGTAGCATGCCAATAATGCAAAAAATTTAATGGCAGAGCAACAAAGTGCTGATGTGTGTTGTCGTCAGTGCTATAGTCTGCACTCACATGATTGAAATGTCCTCTAATAGAAGTGCAAGTATGTCCTCTATGTGCAGTCTCTACATGTAAAATCTTTGTACGTGGATTGATCTTGATGTCCTGCAAAGTTGATTTTTGAATCTTCAGTTCAAGGTCATTATGGTTAAAATATTAGAAATGGTTTTCCAGATAAAATTCCAGAAAGATTAGACACACTTCAACATGGAATCTGGGTTGGTACTGGTATCCTCTGGAAGCCCACTGGTTTTGGACTTTTAAGCTTAACGTTGAGTCACTGTAGTTAAAACCAGCACTGGTTTTCTCAATGGAGATGGTTTGTGCAATCAAAAATTTAAGTCATTGATTTAGGCATGGGCTCGGTTGGGCATCTGTGTTTAACTCACCATTTTTGTTTCAGTTACATGTTTTTGTTCCATCCCAAATCCCATCATCTGTGAACATTTTTGTTTTGTTTTGTCATTTTTGGGGCACTCTGTCTAGTTTTAAAGATCAAATTACAATTGAACTAAGCTAAACTATATGCCATATTATAAAGGTGGTCTGCAAAGATTAATGCCATAGTGATGTCAGCTTTTCATGTGAGTAATGTGACATCAAATGAAAGGTCCATTTTTCACTGTCTCATATCTTAAGAACTTAATGACAGCGCTTAAAACTTGAATTCATACAATCAATCAGGCCTGTATAAAAACTGAAGTGACATACTGAACTCATCTCGTGTCAACAAAGCTTTAACAATTTCAGTACTAACATTTCTTTTAAATTATACAGGGAACAACTAATGATACATGTAAAAGGATTACCTTGACTCTCTGGTGCATAGGTCCTCGTAAATGGGGAAGTATTGTATGCAAAGACCGTTGAGCTAAAACAGTGGGAGATATGGCACTTTGACAGAAATGACAGTTGACAAAGACTTGCTGTGGGGAAGGGACCTTCACATTGCCCTGATGGTCATGGTGGTAGTAAACATCAAAACGTGCCCTGTACAAATGATAAAACTGCAACTTACAAAAATTGTGTAACTGTCCACAACAAAACCTGCCACATCCAAGACCAGAAACAAGACAGAATTCAACTTCTTGTCCAAGTCTGAGTCTGCTTAAAGCCTGATCTAAATCCAAGTCCAAGGCTGCTAAAATGCCTGAAAAAATGTTCTCATATGCACCAAACTGGAATAACTCTTGGCTTTAGACAGCGTGACTTTGTAAAGAACATAAAGTGTACATATGTGCAACACCCAATCTCAACCACCTTTAAGCAATGGCATAACTTTACATACAAGTACACCGCATTTTATTGCTTAAATTCTGCAACAAATTACGACACATTTCATGAAGATTATGCACTGCACATAGTTATGTAAGTCTGTGATATGGTTTGTAAGTTTGTGCTATGCAATCGTTTTTGATGGCATTAAGTAGTACTGAACAAATATCGGAAATAAATTATTTCACTCCCTTATCATGTTCTGTCATTGCTCAACTTAACAAGGTTTAGATGAGAAATGAACAGCATTTTTTTGTGGTAGCAAAAAACATTTATGCCGTGAAAGAATTCCGGTTCCAATAAAGAAAAGATGAAAACTCTCATTTATGAAATCAACCGGCGTACATTGCACAGCTGTGGCACAAATTTTTATCGTAAGGTTTAAGCATGATACAAAGTCACACCAATTTGAAACTGGCTACTTGTCAATCAAACAAATAAATATTCTTCATCAAATTATCCGTCTTGCATATTTCATATTCAAAATACTTTGAGATAAGCTGTAAAATTAAATTCCAAAATGAGAGAAATCTTTGAATAAGTTTATAAACAAAAACAAAAAAATCATGAATGATTGCCTTTTATGAGTGAGATAATGACTTTCCTGAACAGGATTTGTAGTGTTAATTTTAAGCTTTAGCAAATAATCTTTTCAAAAATAATCTGTAGAGAGTAAAAAAAATCTCCATGGGAAGAGGATTGGGGCATTTATTTAGATGTATGGATTGCCTTTGCAAATAAGCTTTAGTAACGAACAATGATGATTTACCTTTGATGCCACAGCCTCCATGTATCCAATAAACCACGGTAGCTCTCGACCCAGTGAGTGACTCGTTTATCTTTACACAGCTCTGGAGGAAGTGCAAGTACAGCAACTAAACTAGCTGTCTGAATATCTGCAGTCTGAAATAATCAACACATATGAAGTAATTCACTACTTGTAACACAAAGAACTGAAATCTATCAGGCATCTTGACTAACAAAATTGAGAATCAGTGAGAGTTGAATGCAGATCAGATTTAACTGGCAGGGGAATAAGGCGAACGTATTTATGAGCTCCATGATACACTATGATAGAATTTAATCAAATACAAATTTGCAATGCACTGACAATTTTGAATGTAGCAGAAAAACAAAGCAATGCATAAAAGTTGTAAGCCCTGATGTGCAATCCTTTTATTTTCTCCAAGCTTGGCACTGTACTTGGAACCAGATTAGTGACCAATAAATGAATAAAGATGGAGTTTGGAACACAATCTAAAGTACATCCTGTGTCTTGCATTATGGTGTGTATCTCTCTGTTGTTAAAGGTTGAGTGATTTTGTTTGACATTGTTTTGGAACAAGTGCGCGTGAGGGTTTGATTGGCCTTAGAGAAGTGATGTGTGGGGATGAAAGGAAAAAGCAAGCTGAGAGGGAGAACGCAAAACGTCGGTAGCGAGCACGCCAACGATCTTCCTGTACTGTGCTAGCAGTGAAATTCTCTTTGAGAAACTCTTAAGCTTGTGAGCTTTTCCAGTTGAAGAACTGGCCCTGCACACTGTACATTGAACTATAATTCTTTGTTTTGTATGAATACATAATTTGAGACATACACGTGTTTGAAGTGAATTTCCATAACTTTGTCTTTGTCATGATGAGACGACACCTGATTTTGAAATTTGAATGATTATGGTCTGGATATATAAGATTCTTACTTTTCAAGAGATCAAAATAATTTGTATTTCACTAATAAAGGCATCAATATTCATTTTAACTTGTGCAGAGGAAGTTTAATTTGATAGTTTGCTCAAATTTCATAAAATTAACTTCGTAGTTCGTAGATAAATGGTTAACAATGACATTTTCAGATGGCGGGACATCAGGTGTCACTGAGCCACTGACCCGTGCCGTTGAGGGTACCGTTGACTGACCAGCTCCTTTAGAGACGTCGGTCACAGACAGTGAAACAACTTTGACTGTGGGGGTTCTCAGCTTCAGCTGAGAATTACTATGAGAATGAAAAACAAATCTTTTTTTTTCTTTGATTACAAATTCACCAAAGAATATAAATATGAAGTAATACTTCATATTTATAAAATAATACTAAAACATTTCGACCTAGACACAAATCATGTAAAACTCATTTAAAGGATCCCTAACAAAAATGTCCCATGAGGGTATCCCATGGGAAAATTTCCAATGCTGATCATAAAAGCCCCATGGTGTTCCCATGCTGATCATTAAAGCCTCATGGTGTTCCATGGTATCCACAAAATGTCCCATGGTGATCACTTCAACCAACATTACTTTTTTGCCAGTCCCATGATGTACACATAGGGTCCCATGGGCAGCCCATGGGATCTGCATGGGACAGCAGTTTATCTGCATGGGGTTTTTAGCCGATTGACTTTGTACACATTTTTGAGGAACTATTTTAGTCTCTTAGCAATCTTCAATCATCATCAAACTTACACCCAGCACAGATCCAAATACAAAAATTTTTCAAAAGTAGTGACGTCATGATGACGGCATCATGTGAATCATTGTGGAATTTCGAATCTTTATTTTCCCCATAGACTTTGTACACAGATTTGAAGATGTATTTTCTTCGGCTAGCAACCTTTCATCCGGATCAAAATCATAACAAGCACAGACACTCAGGCAAATATTCTAGCCAAAAAATGACATAATAATGACGTAATCACGTGAATCATTTTGGAATTTTGAATCTTTATTTGTTTCCATAGACTATGTATTCAAATTTGAAGGTATATTTTTTCGGTTAGTGACCTTTCATCTGGATCAAAGTTCTACCAGGCACAGACACTCATGAAAAGATCCTTGCAAATTAATGATGTTGTGATTACATCATCATGAGGCTAGTCACATGACATTAACCCTAATAGTCCTCAATCCTCCAAAAGGTGAACATGGTGAAGGATTGAGGACTGTTAGGGTTAAAGGTGCATCACTTAGAGTCCTAAATCTCCTAAAGCACATGTCCGATTGGCTTGAAATTTTCGACATAGCTAAACAGGTAGGTATTACAGATGAAAATTGACATGATGTTGTGTCAATTAGTAACGTGACATTAAAGGTGCATTGCTTAAAGCGCCCTATCCCAATTGGGTTGAAACCTTGCAGATATCTAGCACAGCAAGGGTAAGAGAAAAAATACCTGATATAAGGACAACTTCATCACATAACAAGTTATTTGATCTTGAAGGTACAATTTTTACAAAACTGTATCAACTAAAGTACATGTGCGATGGAGTTAAAAAAAGGAAAGTGTTATAGACGACACTGATGTCATGTTATGATCAAGTCATCAGCCAACTTGTCATTTGACATTAGATGTGCATCACTTAAAGCCCTATCTGTCCTGAAATACACGTCCGATTGGGTTGAAACCTTGCAGCACGTACATAGGGAAGACTTCTTTCTAAGTTATTAAACTGAGTGTCTTCGACAGTTGTTTGTTTGAAAATCTCAAAATGCAAAAAAAAAGCCCCGCGTTTTGTCCATGAGACAAAGGCACAGAGTTCTAGTTTAGTTTTGTTTTTGGGACCCCAAGTATGACTGCAGTGGCGGCTGGACAACAGGGGAAAATGCTGTCAAGCCGTAAAGGAAGGTCTTCGATAAGCTATGAGCAATTAAAAAGATCAGAGATCGGAAAAAACTCTTTGTGGCCCAGACTTTATCTTTATCGAGCAAGGAGTCATTGCCGGAAGACTAGTTAAGTCGGGTGGAAGTTGTGCCTAGCGACAATGAAAAGCTCAAGCAAATGCAAATGTCGGTGCATCATTGCTGGAGAATGGAAAAAAAGAGTCTAGTTTTGTACACAGCATAGCCGTAGACGTTTCTTTATTGAAGGACTCCAGCTGTTTTTACTGCATGCATGGGGAATTAAAGTCTGAGTGCATGCATCCAGCCAAAGAGAGAAAAAGCTTTATGGAGCGTCCGTGAGAAATAAAGTATTAGTCACCAATGTTAGGTCCTGTCTGACAGGGACAAATTAAACCCCAATTTTTCCACAGTCAGGACCAGCGCAAAAGTGGACATGGAGCTGGTCCCAGATTTTGTGGAAGACTCCTGGAAAATTGGTCGTTCTTCCAGCTCCCGGCACATGATAAAAATCTCCCGGATTGCCAATTTGAGTGTGTAAATTTATATTTACCTGTCTTTTTTAATGCCACAGTCTGAGTTGTAATAAAACTTTGCATGAAAATAATTTGTTGTGAATGCACTGTCATTTCCCTTGTCGAGAACTAGACTCAGTACAAGAGTATTTACCAGTGCCATGCACTTCTCGGATAAGGGAACACTAGGCAAGAAGCAACCCAACAAGTCGAGCAGGCCCGCCTGGTCAAACTCAGTGGTGGGAAGTTTAAGTTCCACGGCCCCCACAAGCGGTGAGGACCTGGCAGCAACCACATGCAAGATACAGCACTGCACTAGGGTGAAGAAGCCGTGAGTAATGGCCGAACAGCATTCTCTCACGCGGCAGATCACCACTGTAATGTGCTGGGACCCATCCCTATTCGTTGACATAAGGGAAGAATCCCTGCGCTACAGCAGCACTGAGGTCTGTTTCCGTGTGCCGAGCTTTGAGCTGCCCGAGCAGCCCAGCAAATGGTAAACTCAGCTATGCTCCCGAAGGCAGTAGAGGAGTATAGGGGCAAGTGATGCTCGAAGTTTGATGAAGGCCCAAAGGGAGAGCTATGCTTATATGTAACACCTGTCAGCACACTGAGGTCTGTTACAGTGCGCCAAGGTTTGAGTCGGCCGCGCAGCCCTCAAGTGGCGGACTCAACTTCGCTCCTGAAGGAGTGGGATCGGACTGGAGATACCGGCTCTCAGAGCCTGCGGGCCCTTGGCATAAGTACCAGATACCACACCAGTACCGCCACAACAAGTTGGCGAATATCACTTGATGCTCGAACTCGCGTGCTCGACAGCACAGTACTGGAGCAAATAAGGGTATTGCATGGCCGTGCCTCGGGCCGGCCAATGGGAGGGAATAATTAATCACGCACTGTCCTATTCCCTAGCTTAGAAAGAACCAAAACCAATGCACCACTGTCCTTACTATTTAAGCGATCCCTGGCCTGAATATCTCGAAGTGGGGCGAGGACTAACTCGAACTTCCCTTGGGTTTTCAATTATCAAGAATAATGTATAGAGAAATTGGAAAAACAAGAGACGCCGAAATATCCAGCGATTACAAAAAATCGACAAGCAAATATAAGGAATATCAAGAAACCAGAAATGCCAAAATACTGGCGACATGAAAAATCAACAAACGATACATCCGAGTATAATGAGACAACTGCTTCGAAATATAACTGATCAAATTGTAAACAAGAATGCCACAACTGGGGCGAATCATCGAGTATATAAAAGAAAGCAAAATAAAGAAACACACATACTCAACATATTCTGTTGCACAGGAAATAAATTTCCCCCCCCCCAAAAAAAAAACAATATTACCACCCGGCGAACTCTGAAAATAGGTCAATACAAAGGTGTCTGCCACCTGTGCAAGACTGAAAAAGAATGGTAAAATATCAAGAAATATAACGAAAAAGGAACAATCTTACTGTTCACAAGAGTCAGAACAAATAAACAAGGTGATCAAGGAATAATACCGAAACACGCTTTAGTGAAAGAAAATCTCCCAAAAATTCGGAGCCGGAACAATGTTCCGTATTGTAATGACACTAAGAAATAAGAAGAGGAACATGGCCAATGCTGCGAGGGGGGGAGTGAGTTGGGGCGCACTATTGGTAATCGAGAATTTAGCGAATGGAAGTAATGGACTTAGAGACAATGGATAGGTATTGGTAATCTGCATAAGTTGAAGGCAGTAGACTACAATGTTTAAAAGGTGGATAAATGGGATGTACAGACTTTTTGCATTCAAAACCTTTTAAACATGGACAATGTACTTGTACTTGGATTCAAAATATCTTGAGAAAACATAAATATCCTCAAAGTTTGTAAAAAAAATTTGAAAACTCTCTATACATGTATTTCTTGCTATTTTTTGGGCGGATTTTATCATGAATGCCACATAAAACCGAACCATGCATAAAATAAAATGAGTACAAGAGTCTTTCCCCATTTTGAGGCTACTTTCTATCATAAACTTTTATACGTTTTTCTTTTGGCATAATTTTCCTTCACAGCTGCATTAATGGCAAGCAATTTCTTACCCTGTCCACATAAGACTGTAACAGCTCCACACAGTCTTTATTCAACCCAGCTAGTAGCATGCCTTCTAGCTTGCCATCTTGCACAGTAATGTTTGTCAATTCCTCAATGAATACTGGCAGCTGCTGATCATTGAGAAACAAGCAGGCAAAGGCGACACGGTCCTCCATATTCAAGCCTGGCTCTTTCTGCAAGAAAAAAATAAAGCCAACAGTCACAATTTGGAAGAAAAATTTCATTAAATTTGCTCAACTATGCTGTATTAGAGTTTTGCTTCAATCCACTCTAAAGCAACATTCCAAACAAGTGAATCTGTAAATGAAGATCACTCTGAGATGAAATGCTTCGGACGCACAAATTGTCAGGGAAACTTAACACATGCCTACTACATAATGATTAAATAAAATTATTGAAGAAATAAGCTGAAGTTGGATTTGAACCTGTGACCTCTGGAATATTAGTACCAGTGTTCTACCGACTAAGCTACCAACAATGGTTCCTCTCAAAGTGCAAATGTCTTTGTTCAGGCATGCAAGTGAGAAGCCTTCAACCATACACTACATAGCAAGAGATCTTGTTTGTATGCAAAAAGCCATATCCTCTCTGAGCAATACCCAGTGTTCTCCAATGTACAGAAGAAGCATGGCAGTCCAAAATTTTGCATGTGTTTCCCCATCACAAAGTCACTGGCCACTGAGTTTAACCCTCAAAGAGCTGGGTTATTTTGGCCCATGTCAAGAACTTAGCTGTGCCAGGCTCAATTCTATTAGTGACTAATAAAGTATGCATGTAGAGACACCTCTTTTCAGTACAAATGTGAAGTTTGAACACAATCCAACATATGGTTTTGTTGCGACTGTCATTTCAAGTTCAAGCCTACAAATGTGCTAGCCTGTGTCTTTAAGCAACTTCTAAAGGCTCAGCTCCAGAAAAAACCCACTGCTGTGATGTCAAAAAAGTTGTTGGTCACCCCCGCGCTCTTTTAGGGTTAAAATCTTGGGTGCTGCCATGGATGTAAATCCTGGGAGATGGAGGGTTTATATCCCCCCCACTATTTGACGTGTGGTGAGCAAAAAATTAAAGTCAAATGACTAAAATGCATTCAGTATCACTCAGAAATTGAGATTTTTGTTTAAAAAAGCCATAAATATGCCATTCTGATTCGAATACAGATGTATATGTACATCAATATCATGAGCATAGACCTCCATATAGTCATACAGTGTCACCCCCACATGGTAACCTGACATCCCTGTCAACTTACTGAAACAGTGATATAAAAGTACTAGGCAGAAAAAGTGGCCTTTTATTGGAAGATTTCCAAGCAGCCACAGTAACTCCTTTACATATAGTGCAGCTTCCTACTCTATGTCACCACTACACAGACTGGAATTGGCCTTGTCGAAATGACATTTTCCCCTGTCTCATTTGGTAATTTTGTAGCAATATTACGCAATATTGTAGCAGAACAGTGAATTCGTACTTGTAAAACTTGTTAAAGTTTATGTATAACTGGTGCGCAGGCTCAGGCTTGTGCTGTGCACCAATTGCGTAGAGAGTTAGTATCTGGCTCGGGTATTTAAGCATGTGGCTCGCATGCGGACACGCTGTTCTGTTCCAGCGCTCTGTTTAGTCGCACGCTGATGATTGCTGCGCCTCACTTTCCCACAGTTGCACTCTGTGAATTTGTACCCCACGCTTGCACTGGCACTCTGCAGCCCGTCGAGGTACTAGGACGGGGCTGAGCTGAGCCGTGTACCAGGGTGAGTTGGAACCTTAAATTTAGAGGGAAGAGAGAGATTTTGCCCACTGTTTCGTTGCTAGTGAATGTGTATGTACCCCTGGTGCCTGGTGGTAGACTGCCACGCAATGAGTCCACTCCCCCAGCCTTCGTATTAGACCAATCACAGGATGGCCAAGGCCCTACTCATCAGGGTACGTCCCCTTCCCAGGTTGCCTGAGGAAAGTCACCTGCTCCAGATGGACAGCAGCCGAAGTGACATCAGGGGAGCAACGTGCCACAATATGAACTCTGATATGAGCAACAGAATGCATGAGATCCAGCACTGGTGATAGCTCTGTGTCTCATCCATTCGCCGCTTGGAACACAGCATATTTAATAAATTTTGTTAGAATTTTAATAAGTTTAATTTCATTTAAAAGTCTGAAAGATAGAGAGATTTAAGGATATTCAGCAAAAAAAAGAGACATATGCACCATGTCACAAAGTGGAGTTAATTTCAAGTAATTTACTGCCTTATTTTTATTTGCCAGTGCATTTTCATATGTTAATTACGCCCCTCCCTCTGTAAGAAATGAGTCTGCCCCAGGAGAAAGGCAGTGATGTAGTCGAGTACTTTTTGAAAACCAAGTTCTCTACCAAATATTTAACTAGTTAGGAGGAAACAAAGCTGAAGTACATTGGCATTTGATGGTACATGCATAAAGGTAAGATTACAAAGCAACATGATGACTTCAGACCATCACTGTTTGATTAAAATTAACTTTTTAGGAGAAAAGTACTCGGAAAGTACTTGGCCGAGTACTTTCCGAGTACTTTTCTCCTTAAAACTGAAATTTTACACAAGTGGGAGTGTCTGAAGTCTTACATTTATTTTGTAATCTTACCTTTGCACACTTACCATCAAATGAGTGTGCACTCTGGCTTTATTTTTATTCCCTCTTACCCAGTTCAGTATTTTGCGGAGAACGTTGGTACTCGGAAAGTACCCGACTACAACACTGGAGAAAGGCAAGATGAGAGACTCCTAGTATGAAAATAACCAGTGTTTTGGTTAAGTGAATTTTTCAATCTCAGATGCCCTGTACATACATGTACCCCAGGCACTGCTTTAACCATATGCTACCAGGTTTAATTTGAAGTTGCATGACGTATACCCAGGGGATTTTCAACATTTTCTGCTTTCAAAATTCTTCAAAAATTTATAACTTCAAAAATAGTAGACGTTTACACCCATGTGAACGACTGTCTGGCGGCTAGTCTGTAGTCTGACAGACAGCATCTATTAACGCCCAAGTATTTCAGCCAGGCCTGCTGCCTTGAAAAGAAAGCCCACATTGTGCAGTGTTACATAATTTCTTTTGTTCCCGAAATTGGCCCAATGCACTGCTGGCACTTTTCAAGTGTGGATCAGATTAGCATGCAGCGCTCATCACTGAAGTGCTTTTGTCCCCGGTGGTAATCTGCTTGTGCTGAATACCACAAACGGTGGTATAATAATTCAAAACAATGATGGATTTCCTCTGCTACTGACAACTGAAAAAATGTTGGCAATTCCCAGAAACTGGAATTTTTATTTCCGTTTATGTAAAGAATAATATTTCAGTAACAGGATTATTGCAAGAGAAGAATCTTTGAATGCATTCCGACAACAAAACAGGAAGTAAATCATACGTATTGAGCAGAGGAGTACTTCCTGAAACCAACATTAGATTTCATTAAAAATGGTAGATAAAGTTGAACTTGGATGATAAACAGAATATTTTGCATGTAATTTCATCCTCCAGAAAATGAATTTTAGTGTTAAACCTTTAAGAGTATGGAGTACATGTACATTTAAATTTCATCAAAAAGTCCCAAGGGAATGAAGTGATTCCACCCTTACGTTACTCAATCCACATTCCAACTCTACCCATATTCCGACTCCACCCACATTCCATTGTGTATTCGACTGGCCTACTTCCCCTGGCCTACTGTTCCTGTCCATAAAGATAGGGGAACATCGGGTGTGGCCCACCACTGCAGGGATGCGACACCATCAAGGTGGCACGCTACCAAACGAACAAGCAAGATGCAGAAGAGCTGGTAGGCCACATTACAATACCTACCTGAGCTGATTGTGTCAGGAACTGACCTACCTATGGCCACCTACCTGAGGTGATCAGATCAAGAACTGTCCAACACGTACCTGTAAGCTTACAAGCCCATCTAGGAATTTCTGAAAGCTTGGCACCAAGAACAGGTGAACTGTTCAAAACCACTTCCCTTGTGGAAGCTTGAACAGTTCAGCGACACATTTGTAATAACATTTTTTTTCTGTCTGGTACCAACAGTTAAAAGCCAGTCACTCCAGCTCTTCCTTAAGCATTTTTTGTAATATCTTTTGTAAATAGTTGTTTTTTTGTGTAATTAAAGAAAACATTATTAGGGATTCAGTTTATGCAATTTGGACATCGTAAATTATCATTTTGTCTCTTCATTTCATTAAGCTTCACTACTGTCCTCCATGGGGAAAACAGACCAACGGTGTGACACACCGTTTCCAATTTTAGTGGAGAATCAATGTAGATTTTTTTCTAAGAGTCTGGGTATTTTATATTGCACTATACATTTACTTAACCATAGTAAATGCCTATTCAATACAATCTTAGCAGGCAAAAACTTACGCCACATCACTATGTCATATTCCACTTTGGTTAAAGGTGGTTTGCACAGTGCCCGTAAAGAGCAAGGGTTGATCCAGAACCAAATTTTTTTTGGGGGGGTTGTAGGGAGGCTAAACTTTTTTCATGTAACCTTTCATGGACTTTCTTAGGGCGAGACTACATATTGAGACTTTTTAAATGCTTTTGGATGGGGAGGAAATTAAACACACTGTATACCAAAAAATTGTGACTTGGATGAATTGGGAGTCATTATGGTACAGTATACTGCAGGTGACCATTTCAGCCAAAATATCACTAGATGTGGCAGGTTTTTATGTAAAAATTACGGCTGCAAAAATCTAGCAAAATAAAAATTGTCCAGGTTTCAGCAAAATTAAATGAATCAGTAATCCTTGGACAAAGCAATATGCATAAAACAAGCTGAAAAAGTTCAAAACATTTTAAACTATTTAACAGAGAGCACGGACTCAGATTTACAGGTCAGAAAAACTTTGTGATACTCACCAAAACCACATCAAACGTGTCATCAAAAGCCGTCAAGAAGCCAAACATTGCACGTAAGTATGGATGCTTGAGCTTCTCCCTGAGTGTACTACACATCTCACACCATAAAGTATTACGTTGCTGGGTGAATCCAGACAATGCCATTGCCATGCCATGCAGACTTGAATTATCTAGAATACAAGGTCCCAACATTTACCTTTATCAAAAGTTTTGAAAATCATCAAAGTGAACTCATATATACAGTGTTGTAATACTCGTACTCGGTACTCGTACTTGAGTACTACTCGAGTTCTGTTTTCAGAGTACTCGTACTCGTATTTGTACTCGGATGTCCAAGAACTCGTACTCAAACTACAGTTCTTGTACTCGGGCTACAAAATACTCAGAACTCGACACCCAAAAATTTTACTCGGGCATCAAAGTACTCGTACTCGATTAACAGTACTCGATAAAAAATCCTTTAAGTTAACTTACCAGGGCCGTTAAATTTTTCATACATGTATGTGTTTGTCAAGCAAGAGGCTTAAGTACAAAGTTTTGGGGACTTAATTTGAACTGCTGGTTGACGTAAACACACTGATTTGGGTAAGCTGTTGCAGACAATACATGTATTGTAATAAAAATAAAGTTGCAAATTTTTGTAGCCTTGTAAAACCCCAACAAAACTAATACTAATTACAAGCTTAACAATAATTACTATGCCCATTCTAGGTAGAGTCGACTCGACTGGAGTCACTGTGAGCAAATGACTCGAGTTGCCACATTTGAATGACTCAACCCGAGTCACAACTTTTTACAACTCTGATTCTAGGAGCATTTTGGAAAAGTACAATACAGTCACCAGATTAAGGCTGACTCACTCCAAAATTCTAAATAAGTGATACAACAAGAAAAGACTATACTGGTACCATTCTGAGCAGCATCTGTTGTTGCTCTGTTGAGCACATCAATTGCCTGTCGTAATCTCAGCTGAAATACACAAATGGCTGCAGCTCTTTCATACTCACTTTTTTCAACCAACCTGGAGTCAAACACAACATGAAAATGTACACACAGATGTTTATTCCAACAACTTCAGAAGACACTACGATGGTATCATGCTCAGACATACGGTACTAGCCTTACAATCGCTGCATATTCTTTACACAAACGGTGTGTACACAACTTGCAAAACTGCAGGCACCTTAAATAGTACATGAGCGTGGTGCCAACCTTGCTGCCACTGCAAATGAGAAAAACTAGAAAATGCAGAGTATTTTGAAAAAAAAGCTGGATACAGAATGTCAACATGCATGTACATGTATATAAAGAATACAAAAGCACAAACAAACCCCTCTTCTGCGTATTATGGCATATACTCAAGTTGACACTTGAGCACTGTCATCAAGGAAAGGTCTCAATTACACAACTGGCTTATCACGGTAATGGGAATTTTCTTAACCTCATTTTAGTATGCCATATTTTCTCTAAACATTGTAGTAGATACTCAATCTCTTAAAAGAACATCTATTAGATCTAAATTAGATCTAGCCCTAGCTAACAGTTTTGGATGCAGCCTTAGGCCACCATTCACTAATGTTTTAAAACACAGTAAATAGCCCCCCCAGCACACAAACCCTTAGCACTCCTCTCAGTCTAGCACCTTCATCCTCCAAGTCAGGTGAAGCAGTATCTCCCCCAACACACACAAAATACATCTTGAAAATAGTTTGCGGTACCTGCTGTTTCACCTGACTCAGACCTGCCAGCCAACCCCGAAAAGCTCGACGGTCGACTGGTTAAGATGTCTGCACTAGTAAGCAGGAGGTCGTGGGTTCGAGTCTTACCTAAGTAAGCTTGTGAATTTTTCTCAAGCTCTCGGACAAGCACTGAGCATACAGTGTTTATCAATATATAGACTGGGTAAGGCAAAACCAATTATATAAATTGACATCTCCCAAACGCAAAAAATACATCTTGAAAACAGGACAGGTTGGCTGGAATAATTGACAGACTTACATTGAGGATGGCTCAATTCAACCACCAGCGAAGGTGTGTTTGAGTATGTTGACCCATTGGTACAGGATGAATTAATGGATGTAGTTTTGGCTGGTAGTGGGAGAGATTGGGTTGAATGGGTACATCCTCAATTCTGCACCACAGAACGATGTCAACCAAACTGGTAATGAGCCCCAGAAGTATAAAGGCCTGAATAGTTTTGGCAGTGTTACGCTTTTTATAAGGTTTTGAATTCTTCCCTGTGTGTAGGCACAGCCATGCCCTGCTGAAGATCCAGCTTTGCCCCCAAGTAGATTGATTAAGTGGAAGGTTCCAGCTGAACTTTTTCTCATTGATTAGGAGGCCCAAGTGAACTGCAAGTTCTTGAGCTACTCCCTTCAGGGCCTCGTCTCTAGTGGAGCCCTAAACCATGAAGGTAAACAAAGAACTGAAGGATTCCTTTTCGCAGTATTGATGCAACAGTTTTTTTGCTATTCTAGTGAATACCTTGGTGGCTATCGAGAGACCGAAAAGAAGGCAAGTTGAGTTTGTAAAATTTTCTGTTACACAGAAATTGCAGGAAGTGAACATGGTCCTTCCGATTTGGAACATGCAGGTATACATACTGCAATTCAAGGGAGGCTGCCCAAGCGCGAACTGTCAGAGTATCAAGAACATCATGCAGCATCTCCACCCGGAATCTTTTTGGTCAAATATATCCATTAAGAGCTTCAGATTCAGCATGGGATGCCACTCGTTGGGATTCTTCTTGGGTGTTAGAAAGAATGAGGAATAGAATCCATACCTGGTATATCCCTGCTGGACCAGATGGATTGCTTCCTTCTGAAGTAGGGTATGTGTTTTGTTTTCCAGTACTAAATGTTTTTGTTTTTCTATCGGAATTGGAGTTGGGTGTGGAGTAAAGCTTGATAGAGGTTGGGCTTATGCATTCTAGGGCATACCCCCTACCTTAATTTGTCAAGTGCCCTCTTGTCCTGACAGCAAACAAAAGGGCTCAAGTCTTCGCGAAATTTTGGAGCCAGCCTCCCAGTAAACCATGGTCATTGAGTAGTCAGTGTGGCCAATGTTCCCAGAAGTAGCTGTCACAAGTTGTTTTGGAGTGAGGAGTGTATAAGGGTTGAAAGTTACACTCTAACAAACTGAATATGGATTTACCAGAAGGATGATATCTTGAGCCCGTTTGGTTGAACCAGGGTTGGATATAAAGGCTCAGCCATGCCCATCGAAAGGGCTTCAGAGGCTTACATGGAAACTGCTTGCTACTGGTATGAGTAGGTTGTCTATTTCACTTAATGGCTGCAGTCCTAGTGCATGTAGGCTTTCAAAGATTTATTCTGTCTGTAGCTTCCAAGCATTCAGCCTACACCTCTATGACCTCTTGGAACTTGCCATTAAAAAAAATCTGCTTCCAGGAGGGGAAAATATTCAAGATGTGCCCTTTTCTCCTCAGAGAGGAGAAAAATGACATTGAGAACATTAGTCCTTCAAACTGTGGTAGCAAGCACAGCACTCCGACAAAATGATCATGCAAATGCAGAGGCTGTCATCCAAGCAGTGAAAAGCCAGCATTGTTGTCTTGAGATACTGGAGACATCAGCTTCTTCACATGGGCATACTAGAAACTTGGACAACAGTTGAAGAAAACAGAACACACACAACTCTGCCTAAGCAGCCAAGTCAACTTTCATGAGAGTATCTTCCAGACTTGTATTTGAGTCATGAAACATTGAGTCTGAATGCAAGTCTGAGTCACATCTCTCAAATTCAAGACCCAAGTTATCCACGTCGAATCCAAGTCGGAGTCATGAGTCACAAAGCTCAAAATAAACTCCGAGTCACAAGCCACCTGTTTTATTGTATTGCAAACACATTTTCAGGTTCTGTAAATGTTTCATTTTTTACCACAGCAATTCCCTGATTTAATGAACTGGAAATATATGTATGTCATAAACCATGGAGATAAACTGACTAAAAGTCTTCTGTTCTACATGTGATATGTCAATCAAGCGTGCACTACAGTAGCTGCATCATGCACTGTTTTGCTCTGTGAAAAAAAAGCAACAAAGTTATTTCTGCTGAGTCACAAGTCATGCAGGTCGAGTCAGCAGCCCTGAGTCTGAGTCATTAAAAATGAGAGTCAAGTTTGACTTGAGTCCGAGTCACGAGTCATATAAGGATGGTGTCATCCTTTTTATTTCTGTTGTGGCTGGCGAAAGGGGATTTACGTGACAAGCCACCTGTAGAATCATTCGTGATTTTATTTAAGACAGCAAGAAGATCATCAAAATCAGGCCACAGTACCCAAAATGTATCTTTAGCCATGAATGGACGCCACTTTTTTACAGCCACCAGTATTTAGATTTGCTTGCTGCAACACTAATTAATCACTCACTGACCAGAGTGCCCCCCAATTGGTTTGGGAACAGAAAGAAGCTATTTTGGCTGATAACTCCTGAAAGCCCTCCTGAAAGCCCTGTAAAAATTGTTGATCATGCTTTCAGACCAGGACCAAAGGGAACACAGACGGAACCAGAAGAACAGCTCAAACTAAAGGTGGGTTGCAGCAACTGGTCTTAAAGCAGTCTGTTCACTTTAGCCAGTCTTAAAGGGCTTGCTGTTAGTTGGTCTATAAGTTAGACCATTGCAATGAAGTGGTCTAAATGTTAAGCTGGTCTTAAAATAGTTGGCTAGCCTGGGGCTGGCTTAAAATGGTCTCTGTTTGGGATTTTCTTCTGATTTGACTGCTTGTAATATTTGCAGACAGAATGGCTTGTCAGTTATTAGTTACTGAGGATTTCAGTCAAAGAGCCTTACACCAACAGATGACTGACTGAATCCTCGAGAAATATAATGACAACGAGCTTTACCACAAGTAAAGATTTCCTTCAGTTTTGCAAGTGTGCACTGCCTTGAGATTCTACGCAACTAGTGTTATTTACAACATATCTAGTGATATATCAGGTAGGGAAAAGGAATTTTCATTTTATGAAGTTAAAACATTATTTTGTAGTTTAAATATGGAGCTACTACATGTAGGTAGTTTAGAGGACTGTGTCAAATTGCATTAACTTGTGCAGTTAGAAACACATCTTTAAAAAGAACACAGAATTTGATTTATTCTGCACTCATTCCATGTGTCATTATGTTGGGATATACAAGTCTACAGCCTGCATAACAGCACAAAGAGTATCATTGGCTCTGAAGAATAAATTGGATGATTTTGTTGCATTCCCTAACCAAGAAAGGAGTCTTCGGGAGCAGAAGGTGGGGTTCCACAACACGGCAGGGTCTCCTAACGTGATACGGGTTGTAGATGGGACACATCAGAATCCAAAGCCCGAGTGATCAAGAATATCTCTCGGTCAACAGGAAAGGGAACCACAGCCTTAACATTCAAGTAATATGCAACAGCCAAATGAAGCCCACAATTTGTGTAATTCGCTGGCCTGGGTCCACTCATGACTCTCAAAGGTTTTGCAAAAGTGCCATCAAAGGAGTCTTCGACAAAGGTCAAGTTCATGGTTACCTGCTTGGTGAAAAGGGCTATGCTCTGTCTCCAGACATGTATCTTCTCACATCATACATCAATCCTCAATGCCCTGAGCATCACAGATACAATTGCCAACATACATGAACATGCTCCATTGTAGAGAAACTGTTGGGGCATATGGAAGCAGCTGCCCAGAGCAACGCATAAGATGACAAGAATGCCACTGGATCGACCACATGCAGTGACTGCAGCTGCAATCATTCTGCACAATGTCCCTAGACAGCAACACCTCACTGACTTTGATGACGAAGAGGATATCCTTGAGGACCTGGAAGAGGTTTCTAATAGGCCTTTGGCAGTCGATCATGTCTCGCAATGAATGCGATTTTCAAGATTTTCAGTTTTCAAAATTCTTCAAAAATTCAACATTTCATTTAATGGACATTTACACCAACACAAATGACTGTCTGGTGGCCACGCTAGTCTGACAGCCTAGTAAAAAGAGCCCAGATTTGCGGTGTTATGTCAGTTTCTTTTGTTCCCGAAATTGGCACAGTGCACTGCTGGCTTCTTTTCAATACGGGCCAGATTAGTGTGCAGCAGTATTATATCACTCATCGCTGGAGCGCTTTTGTCCCCAGTAATGATCTGCTTGCACTGAATGCCATATAGCGGTATAATCTTTCAAAACAAGGATGGATTTCCCCATCAGCTCAGTATTTTGTGCTGAGCACGGTCTTTTGTTACAAGGCCCAGCTCTTTTGTCCAGTTTAGGGCTCCCCGGCTTCGTGTATAAAGCCTATGTGCTCGAAAACAGGTCCCCACCGGCAGCAAGTGGTTAAATACTGCTTTATTGCAATTCACCCCTGGACTCTACAGGACTGGAGCTAAGATGCTAAGTGCTTTTGTTGTGATGACATTTATCCTTAGCCACCATATCTCTCTGGCTCCTCTGAGTACCGGATGATCCCATCTGGGTTGGGTCTGTCCCCAGAAATTACCCAGGTTATTTAAGTTGGTACCCATGGCTCCAGTACTGAGGGCTAGGGGCCCGAAAGATGTCTGTTTGTCAGAATGACGCACTTTTCTTTTAACAAACATTGCCGGGGGTAGGGACCGAAGTCCAGAAGAAACTGATGTCCAGGGTACTGAAGGCTAGAGGCCTAGAAGGCATAGCTCCGCAGCCTGAATGGTCCAAACTTTTGCTTCTCTCTCTACCAGTAGATGGAGGCCCTGCTCTATTCCTAGTGGGCCAGAGGCCTGGAAAGTATGTCTTTGGTGTTTGGATTGCTGGGTTTGCTGTAATTTAAAATATGAATGAGGACTGGAGACCCAGAAAGTGCAGGCCCAGGGGCCACAGACCCAGTACGCGACTTCGGTCTGCCTCATTTTACCTTTGACGGATGTGAGAATTAGACAGAGATGGAGACAGAGATTTATACTTCCTGTTCATCATCTCCCCACGTACAACAGATCTTGCAAGTATTTTCAAGCATGGCAACATGAGCACAAATAAGCTGAGTCTAAGTGTGTGCAAGGTTTCATACGGCAACACATGCCACATGTAACAAAACTGGGGAGGAGTAACACCACGTTTACGCTTGTGTGACTCCACCATATTGAACCTACGATGAAACCATTCATTCTTTTCCAGTGATGAAAGCCGGCAAAATACAACGACAAGGGTGATATTAATTGTCTGACAACACACGCTTGGTGCAAACCAAAGGTTAATGATAATATATACAATAACTAGCAATAATGAAGGAAATTACACGCCTTAAGGAGTGTGAAAATTTTACAACTCACCATTTGTGCCCAACAGAAAGGAGCAAAGGGCAAACCAGACTGATGCAAGTTCTAAGGCACTGGGCACTGTTTAAGGTTGTACAAAACACTAGTGAACGCAAGCCTTAGGCTAGAGAAATATGCAAATGTAACATGTAACAGCTAAGAGGGGCCCAGAAATGGACCTAAGATTAACTCAACCATAACTTTGTTCATCTCATTTTGAGCTAACTATAAAAAATTTTTAATAATAACAGGTTTTTGTACAGTGCTTTTAACAAAATCAAAGCGCTTTCTATTGTTATATTTCGGTGGAAGTATTTAGGAACGAATTCAAATATCACTCAGATGTAATAAACTTTGGGGTTATTTATAAGCAAATGAATAAATGAATAAGGCAATAAATATGTGCTTGGCTGGTCTTAAATGTGTGTTTAAGACCGGCTAAGGAGAATGGACGTGACTAATGTTCAAGAAGCACGCCAAGCACATACTCATTCCTGTTCATACCTTTTTAGTCAGAGAGTCAAAAGAAGTCAATAGATGACGGATTTCCAACGATTCTGTTGTGGAATTTTCCTGAACACCCCATTCATTTAATCTTAAAGTTGTCCTAAAGAATCCCCTTATACAGACTTGGCGCACACGTGGCAAGCCACATACACACAGACTCTTGACCAATCTCAGTCAATGAAACTGTCTTGTATCCTTATAAGTCAAAAAATATGTCAAACAGTCTCCATACATGGAAGAAGAGTACAGAGATAAACAAAAAGTGAGTCTAAGAAAAATTCATTTTCTGGTTCCTTTATTAAACAGTCAAATTGCACTTTGTTGAATAGGGAGACTGTCTGAGGTATTTATGAATGACTTTTAATATGTATGGTTTATAGCCTACCTGTTGATAAATGTGCTAAATGCAACTTCATCATGATCAAACTCCCAGCCACACAACATAAGGGCAGCAGACCTATATAGTATTTTAAAAGAATTGAAATAGTTTTTAAATTTTCTCGGTTGCAACTAGTAAACAAATTAAAAAGTGGAATGATGAAACCAATGCTATTTCAAGAAACAGTGATATCTAGCTCCAGGTAAAGAAGAACCAACACGACCACTTGTGGAAGTCAAGAAATCACTCTATAACAAATTCGCATACAAGTATAGAGGCATATAGCCTGGTGGTTGAGGTTTTTTAAATCCCAAACATAGGATTTGGGTTGAATGAGCAGCTGGAACTACATGTTGTGACCTTGGACTCCAATTATTCTCTCTCCACGGAAGCGTACAAAATAGGTACATGTACCTGGTCAGAAATAGTTGTATGATTGTCATTTGTACCTGATATGGCAGTATCAAGATGAAGATTCCTCAGGGAGCTGGGATGGTTTCAGAAGTGTTTGGAGGCTCAGGGAGAAGGGATAATAATGATTTCATGCCTTAAGCACTAGTAATTGGTGGAATTGGTGTAATATTTGCATTTCATCAATACCTGTCATCATTAGTATCAAAAACAAATTTTAAGTACTTCGAGAAGTAAAGCTTGCCTTCTGAGGTTTGCTTTTAGGGAAATGTGCTTTCCAGTCTATCAAACTGAACAATCATACCATCAGGTGTCCAGAAGGTCGCAAGGTTGAAAAGTGGGTTATACAGTTATATCATTCATTTGGTACATATGTTGATGCAAAGGGTGATGTCATTCTGAGGTAATTAACAAAATGAAGATGGTGGGTGGTTTTTCATTATTTTTGCCTGGAATAAGCACTTACCACTTAATACTAATGAAATAATAATAATAATGCACAATATTATTTAATCATCTACAAAACTTCATCAATCTAGAATTCAGACTTGTATAATTTTTTAATTTACAGATGGGAGCCCCAAAACTTTAAAACTGATTATCTCAAAAAGGAATATTTGCTTGTCTGGGCTGCCAACATCCACCCCTTTAAATATGCAAACGGCAATATTGTTTTCATTGTTTTTTGTTTGTATTGATTGTTTTCAAATCCATTACTGTCATTAACTTATCAAATAATGGCTTACCTCTCAGGACTTCTGAAGACATTAGACTCTGAGTACCAGTCCACTCCTTTCCAGTCCACTGCATCCACACAACTCTTCAATCCAGACTCACTTTTGAGGAGTGACTTGACTCCACAGTATCTTGCACCTCCTTTCACTGATGCAGTCACCTTGTCTTCTTTGTGTAGAGACAGAAACCTTGAGGAATGAGTTAAGAAATCAATCAACGAGGTGAGCAATTATTACATGCCTTTCCATAAAAACCATACCAGTTGAATTGCTAAGTTTGGGCTCCAGCACAATAAATAGGTACCAGTTCTATTTAAAGGTTAAGAACTTCACCGTTTCACACTTGAATCTGCAGGCAGGAAACACTTTCAGATAAATGTGTTAATTCTTCATCATTATCTTTTCAACTGCATATATTACACAGTCACTATCCAGCAAGCAAATTTCAAGATCTATTTTGTAAGCTTCTTTTGACATGCTGTTCAGTTCTGAAATGCTCTTTCTTCCCTTTCCTGTTATTCAGATACCAATAGCATGTCCTAATTGAAGCACATGAACAAGCACCTTTCACACTCAATGACATGTCTCCCTTTTCACTCATTCACCTTTCTATTTGTTTTTCCTGTTGTCTTTGCATAACTCCTGAAAAGCTAAAGTGTATGAAAGACTGCAACATCTGTGATTATGTAACAGCTCTGATCACATACTGTACAACAGAAACAGAGAGATGTTACAACTGATACTGTTACTGTGATGGATAACACTCACAATCTGCTGCCTCGGCATGAAGTGGTTACTGCAAGAAGAACAGCCAGCTTCATTGAGGTGTACAGTGATAACGCCGTACTGAGAGACTCAGAGGGATGACCCACAAGAAGCTCAAGGACATGGGACAGATCCCAGCACGGAATGAGCTGTCTTGGAGGGGGAATGTTTAATGAACATACCATGAAGGAGGTGCCGGAGGGCAGTGTTGCCTGAGGGAGTGGAGCCATCAGGGTAAACCACTGGGAATAGCTGTGACAGCAGAACAGTAGTTGCATATGATTGCTAACTCCATTCCAGTCTTAAATAGGTACAAGAAAGTTTGGCTACTGCATTTATAGATGCCTCAGTTGGAGCCTCACCTTGTCCTTCACACCATGACATAAAAAAGTTGTTTTCTGCTGGTGTAGAGTTGTAGTAACAGCCTGGTCAATTGGGGCACCAGGGCAGGTGAGGCAAGTACGGAACAATGAGAAGAACACGGCAATGTTCCCGTTTGATCTTGACAAAACTGCAGGGATTAGGGATAATGGAAGGAAGGTGCCTATGCAAGTAACCCTTTCCAGGGGGCGTCTGTGGTAAGTTCAACATTTGTCTTCTCAGGAGGCCAAGTGCATGCCTCCTTGGTGATTTATGTATATGATGACTGTCAAGTTGTCTGATTAAATCCGAACAGGTTTGCCTTGATGGTTGTGCAGAAGTTACATGAATGTATCGCACTGATGGCTTGCTGGAGTTCCAAATGTTGAAGTACCCCTGTCCCTGAGACCTGGAGGGTCGAGAAGGGAAGCTCCCATCCAAATTTGGACACATCAGTAGTAATCATCACCTGCAGATCCATCTTTGGGAAGGAGAGGCTGCAATTCAGATTGTTCCTGTATCAGCTGCCAGTTGAAGATGTGGGCAGATGAAGTCTATTATTAGAACTTAGAGGTCAATCAAGTCACATTTGGGCTGGAAGAATGCCGGTGGAGCTGGAAGGGCCTCATATAAAGATGGCAAAGAGGTACCAGGTCCACCAGGTGAGTTATCAGGCCGAGGATGTGTTGTATTGATGTGATGGAGCCCTGGCAGAGGTGGAGACCTACACCCAAGTAAAGCACCTTCCCCAAATTGACCTCCATTCTGTCACAGCTTGTTGGCTGTTTTCCTGTGCAGTCAACCATTGTCAAGGACAGCAGAAATCTGCAGACTTCCTCAAGTGGGTACTTTGGCATTTAACGAGCAAGGCTCCCGTATACCTTTGTTGTCTTGACAATTGGGGTAATGAATAAAAAGCAGTAGCTAGATATCTCACGAATGCAAGCAGACTAAACACAAACAGAAGCACTCTTGCGAGCCAGCATAGCTTAAGCATCTCTCTCAAATAGAGGGATGTTATATCAGGCGGCTGAAAGTCTTTTAAAAGCAACTGGTCGCGAGCAGCGCACACCATTTTTATCCCTTGAATCACGCTGGAATGAGGCTTTCTTTTCGATCGGATTCTTCAGGCAATTATTATTACTAGTCCCGTGTCATCCACACAGTGGGGTAGCTAGGACTTTACCAGTGGGGGAGGGGGGGAAAGGGGGACACCAGCATCTTATGAGGGGCACCAACTTTCAGTGGTGTGGTTTTTTGAGGGAAGCTTTTGTTAGCCTTGTTCAATCTCCGTTCACCATTTTGTTTTGTTTGGGTTTTTTAAGTGGGGGGCATGGGGGGGCACCGGGTATTATTTGTGTGGGGGGGGGACACATGCCCCCCAGGCCCCCCTGTGGCTACACCACTGCATTCCCAAATTATGCGTTGATGAGTCGCTGTCTCGGACTGGAGTCACTCTCTTTTTTTGACTTTAGACTAGTGCTACAGCCTAACCACCGAACCAAACCAAAAGTCATCGAACACGGCTCTTTCCAAGTGAACCAAACCGTTTTCCTCGGATGTTCAGCTTTAATATGGCACAGCATTGATAGCAAACAGAGAGCACGCGAGAAAACTTGATGAAAATGCAAATACAACAAAAAATGGAAAACAACATTTATGTGTGAATACATGAACACATTCACAGTACAACATACAGTACAGTAAACTTACGATGGCCCTGCATTACACAATGGTTGTAAAATGTACATGGTGGGAATTCAATAGCAACCAACCTAGAACATGTAAGGTACAGCACGCCCACTGCAAATAAAGCTAAATTTTCACTATGTCCAATTGTGCTTATGTTTATTCTGACAGACATTTCGTATACCAATCTCTAATAACCATGCCCCTACGCTACATATTCAGCCAATGACGTTTAAATGGCAGTGCAAAACAAATTTTGATTGGATGCTGATCGTAGTCAGACTCGTGCTGATCGAAGGCAACCCTGGTGAAAAAAAATTTTGCCAGGCAGAGCAGAGCTCTCTATATATGTTGTAACAGAATTTTGCCAAATCTGTGAGTTGTTTGTAAATGTCAAATAACTACATGCCAATATCTGTTCAAAAAAGACTGATGGAAAATTGCCCCTTAATTGGCCACGTCGCCGTGGGCACTGTAATTGGAAAGAATGCTGACTGAGACCAAGGTTCTTTGAATATATCCAATACAACTGTTTGGTAGTTGAATCTGTTTTGTGAAAAACAACCAAAACACAATTCACAGGAAATCCAATTTATCTTGTGTGCTGTAAAGTAGGAAACTCCCATTTGAACATTCTGTTTGTCTTGTTTTCATGTATCCCACCATTCCCATGATCATTTTGTTGAGTTAAACGTGGTCCAAGCATTACCGCTTTTAGTTGGAAAAACACAGTTGGCAAATGTCATACCAGGAAAATTCCATGGAATTGGGACTCCTAAATAAACTTCAAAGAAACAGTTTAGAAGTTGTTCAAATTCTAGAAATTGAAGTAAGGTGAGGATGTCTCAATGTGCACTGACCTTTGTGCATGTACATGTACATACACACATTACGCACAATATCTGCAAGTACATGTACACTTGTGAGGCACAGAAAAAAAATTATCCTACATTTTGGAATTTAGTTTGGGAGATAGACTGACCTTGATCAAAATACATCTACAATAGATTCCTAGATTACAGATGGATGTTGCACCCATGAGAGCGTGTCCACAAGTGGTAAACACAAAGAGTCCCACAGCATGTGCAGCAAATCATCCAAGCATAAAACCCAACAACTCTTTTCACAGTCACCATAGTTTCAAGAAAGTAAGCAAGTAAGTAAGTAAAATGAAAATAAAGATGGTACCCATGTCCAGTTTATTTTTATTTCAATATCCCTGCCAACAAGCCTCTATTAATAAGAAAGTGTTTACGTCATCCAACATGCCCGAGAAGGTACATGTAGTCTTGGTTGTTGGCTACAGAAAAAAAGACATTTTTTTTCATAATTACGAAAAAAAAAGATAATAAATAAATCCTGTTGCTCTTTTTATCTTCACAAAACACCTCTGAACAATTTCAATAATGTTAAAATGCTTGGTTTTTATTGTTTTAGTTCATAAATTTGCGACTTTTGAAAAGAAACTTGTTATTTTCAATAATTCCATTTGCCTTTTGCTGTTACTTTGGTGAAGATGTGTGCAAAACTCAAAGCATTACAGGAATACTGCGCTGGTTCCCATTGTGCCGCGCCCATGCAAAAGAGCATGCAATGGAAATGTGGTAGCCAATCTACACATCCTGGTTGATATAGCCTTGTTACACAACATTGGCCATAGAAGAGGCTGTCAGGGTTAAATCGTCTGTCCATCTGAGTTCCCACGACACTGACACGCTGGCCCCTATGTAGATAAAAAACTGCTGTACATTTGTCTCCTTTTTGTGTCTGTCAGTCAATGAAACACCCTTATCATTGCCTCGTTGCAGTCGGAATCTGATCACAGAATAGTGATTTCTTTTACACTTCACTTGCAGTTTTAGAAGTTACTGCCCAGATGGTGGGCATCTGCAACTCTTTCATTCACATTCAAATTATTGATACTACTGCAACGTGGCCAGTGGATAATCTGTAGAATATTGGCAGTATTCAGGAGTTGCTAATTTACAAGAGCCTTACATACTGTGCACTGTACACAGACTGGCCGGGTTGTCAAGGGCTCTTGTTTGGCACAGATGAACATGCTCGTGCAGAATCTGAAAAATGTCTGTGTCTTTGAACAGGTAGTCAGTTTAGGGATGACGCCTATGTCAGAATCTGGGTAGGGAGGTGTCTCGATTTTTCATGATTGACGAAGAACCCCAGATGGCTGATAAGCTTGTAAGTAAGCCTCATCTGCCGTTCTGCCGATGATGAGCCAGTCATCAAGATATTTGAATATCATAATGAATAACTGGCAAAGGCGTGTGGCAGCAATTATCACCATTCAGGTGAAGACTATTGGGGATGTCAAAAGACCAATTGAAAGGGCCAAAACTCAAAGGTTCTTCCGTTGTC